GGATGTCCCTTTCTTTTCATGTGTGGAAAATAAAAATGATAACTTGGAAAATCTAAGCTGTGAAGTGATGAAATGGATTAGGAAATACTATTTACCTTATTAGATATGAATTAATTATTTTAGTTTATTCTATCGAAAAAAACTATTTTAATTTATCTTTTAATTAAAATTTTAAAAAAATTAAAATTCTTCATCTAGTTCAAAGAATCCAGATCTCATTCTCTTTCTCAACTTGTGGGGTTTTTTAGAGGATCCAATCATAGAATCTAAATCGATTTTTAGGGTTCTCCATTCATAAATAGAGTAAGCAGTCCGTATGATATTTGAAGAAATTGTTGAGAAATGAGGCAAAACGCAAGAGAAGATCCCCAAAAACCACATTTGAGACACCCGAGCGTTAGGTTGTGGCTAAAATTAAGTTTAGGCCCTCAAACTTAAGAGTTTATTAATTTAAGCTCTCGAATTACAAAGCATCATTTACGTCCTCCAACTACACAAATGAATCAAATTAGCCCTTCATTAATAGAGTAGCAATGAAAGTCATAACGCCTCATTTCATTAATCTGACTGGACCACACATGTGGCATCAATGAGGTTGAGTTGACACTTAAGCGAAAAAGCGCTTAGAGTATCAACACCAAAACGTTGGTGTCGAAACTTTTGTTTATTTCACCCTTCATCTTTTTGGCAAGATAAATCTTGCACTTTCTCGCTTAAATCCAACTCAACCTCATTAATGTCACATGTGTGGTGCAGTTAAATTAATGAAACATGTTATTATTTACATTCTTGCTCTGTTAATGAGGGGCTAATTTGATTCGTTCATATGGTTGGTGGGCTTAAATGATGCTTTTTTAGTTCAAGAGCTTAAAATTAATAAACTCTTAAGTTTGAGGGCTTAAGCTTCATTTTAGCTTCGATCGGGTCGTCAGTGGTGGGTGCAATTAGGTGGACTTCTTTGATGGGAGAGACATTGTTTTTGTCCATAATTTCCATGGCTACATTGTTGCATTGTAGTCTATATCAATGGGATCCGTTGGACATTGAATCTCGGGAATCTTTTTTTTTTTTTTTTTTTTTTAACAATAATCTTCTTTGTCTTAAAGAAAATAATATGTTGATTTTGTTGGCCAATTGAGACTTGTAGAGAATGAGGAGATAGAAAGGGATAGTGGAGAGAAGAAAAAGAGGATGATGGAGAAAGGAAATGAGGGCAATTGTAATTTTGGAGGGATAAGATAATTACTTCAAAAATAAAAGTTCAAAAACAAATAATAAATTCATTAACTAATTATTGGGCTTTTTTTTTTTTATTTCTTACTAAATTTTAAACTTGTGCATTAAACATACATTACCCGTATGTTTTTTGTTGTGCATTATAGTTTCAATTTCTTTTTTTATTATGGGTTTAGGTTTTAGATAGTGATTGCATTTAATTATAGACAAATTTATTGTTAATTGTAAATTTTCTTTCAATGATTGAACTCCATTAAATTTAAATCTTTGTATTTCTACTTTCTTTGTATTATTATTATTATTATTTTAGGAAAGAGTAAGGCTTGTGTCAACCCCTTCCAAAATATCTCAACACAAGACACTGTTGACTCCTCTGGTTAAGATAAACCCCACTTGGAACCATGAATTTGTAAAGATCCAAAATCAGCTCAAAAGATACCTTTAACACCATTAAGCTATAAAAACTGAAAAAGGATGCTAACCAATCCCATTTCTCATATTCCAAATTATCAAAATTAACCCAAACTATGTCTTTAAACAATCAAATTCTGAGAAAATTACAAATCTTGATGAAAATGAAATCCCAACAAGAAAAATGATTCAAACTTTGGAAAGGTGATATAGGTTGAAAACAATAAATCAGTTGGTGCTGAGTTGTGGCGTTGAGTTGGCACTAGCTGTTACGCTAATTATATAGGTTATTAGCAATTAATTCCTAGTTAGTTAGAGCCAAGTGGTTAGCTTATGTTAATTGCAACTGTTCTTGTAATCAGCCCCAAACATGTAAAGGGGCAACTTTGTAATAATTGTTGTTGATTGATCAATGAAACAAATAAACCATTTTCTTTCCTTTCTAACTTTTCTTCCTCTTTGGGATCTATCTTCTTCCTTTTTGTTTCTTCCAATTCTAGTTCTATAAATTAGTATTAGAGGAGTGATTGCTCATATCTATGGTACTAATAGTGACAATGTTATAAAATTGAAGATAAACATATGCAGAATTTTGGGATACCAAAATTATAAACAAGAGTTTAATAACATGCCTGATGATGCATTTGATGAAGCAATGATAATTGATATAAGACACCCTTTAGGGATTTGCTAGATCTTCATCTTCTAGTATCACACATATGAGGGCTCTCAATGGGTAGAAATTGAACAATTGATGTGAAGAGGGGACCTAGCCTTCAATTTATATCAGAACCCTAATAGTAATCCCTCTTGTTAAGGGCCTATTGAGTAAGGTCCTACACTGGTCATCTCCATATTATCTCAATGAGATGTTTTAAGCCCACAAAAATGATCACAATAATGATCACGTTATCTTTGTCACTTATGGATGAAAAGGAATCGCGGGATTTACCAACAGCTTTTCAAACTATAATGTGTAATTGTCATTGACATTTAGAGAGATGTTTGAGATAGGATCTTGGGTTTTGCTAAGCCACACTCCTCTCCCTTAGCTAGACAGATAGCTTTACATTGGGGGCTAGAAAGTTTAGTAAAATAGAGTTTTTTCTTGTTGATAGACTAGTTATTTGATTATAAACTAGTTTCTAATTGTGCCTATGTAGTAGCTACATATGACTACTAGCTTGTACATTGAAATATTATTGGATAAATGAATTTCACATTTCATCCAAAAAAAAGGGCTTCTCACATGTCTTAATAGCTTTGGACTAATACAAGTCAACTTGTTTTATTAAGTTTAAATCACCAATCAATAGAAGCCCACACATGTGAAATTTTCTAACACAAGAGTTGAGGTGAGAGTTTGATAAATTCTAATCACAAATCTCCACTTGAAGATGGCATCTATGGAGAATACCTTAAAAACGTCAATTGAAAATACGAATACTTTGAGGGAAGAAATCACAGTTTTTTTTTTTTTTTAAATGAATTTGTAAGAAATTGAATTCAAACCATTGCTCAAGAAAAAAAATATACACTTTACGTGTGTGATTTGAGGTTATTGAGTCGAAGCCTCAAGTGCAAAAAATCACAAAGTTGATGCCAAAAAGATTTCTCTATCACCACCACCAAAGGTTGGCCGAACCTCCCAATGATAGATGCGGCAATTAATTTGCAGGATCAGATTTCTTAAAAATCCAAATACTAATGAATCATCAAACTTGTTGGCCGGTAATATTTCTTAAGAAAGTCCTTTTACTAATGATCTTGAAACTACGTTGATGCGACATGCTGTAATCATTTATTATTTTAAAAATATACAGTGTTAAATAATAGGTTAAAACCCCTTTTTGGTTCCCGAACTATTGTACGGACCTCCGATTTATTCTTTGAACTAAAAAAATCCCTGACTTGGTCCCTATTGTTTACCCATTTTACCCCAACTTGGTCCTTCTGTTAAAAATCGTCCGTTAACTCACAGACATATCAAAAATTTAAGACACGTCAGTTGTCCAACTGGATAAATCATGACATGGCCATACCCAACACAAAAACAAAAGTAGGGCCCACCAAATTACAATTTTGCATCATCTTCTTCCTCCAGCAGCTTCTTTCTCGAATCTTCCTTCATTCAAACAATCAATTCAATCAAACAACCAAACCCACAAAACAAAAAAAAATAGAAATTTTTCGCCTCTGGATTCAAACGAACCCAGCTCTTG